TAGTGAGACTTGACGATTAGTTTATCATTCGGCATATAAATAGTCTAAAGAATAATATGTCTTTTCTGTTCATTTTTATTTTACTTACCACTTTTCCATTTCAGGAATGTCTGAATCTGAGCAGGCTCTTAAAGGCACTTCTCAAATTAAATTACTTTCATCTGAAGATATAGAAGGGATGCGACTTGTGTGTAGGGTAAGAGGATTTTTTCCCTCCCCATGGAGTTGGGCATGTTAACCAGCTATTAGAGAAGTCAATAATTGTGGGTATGTAAAGGTATGTGATATGATATTGCAACAGGGTGACTAGCCATAATTTTATTTCATTAAATTGTTAGTGTATAATTTCATATGACAGTTGATATCTATTTAAGTAGCCTGTTAAAAATTAACATAGAAAGTAATCTATCTTTTGTCGACAGTATATTTTTACCCATATATTTTAAGAAAAGGGGTTATGATATTTTGTCACTTTAATTTTGTTAGTAATCATAAGATAAAGTTTAAGGCTTGTATAGGGTTTGATTAAAAATCTTGTGCAATAACTATAAAATATGTAGTTGTGGCTGGTAATAAAACTGAAAAACAGTTTTGTTTTTCTAAAGAAAAATAATTATGTACTCGAATGTTTATTTAGAAATGGTCATTAAGGTTTTCATGCAATAATTTTAAAGTTATGTGACACTAATTTTCTTTGGTAATATTGAGGACTTTATATTTTTACTTATTATTTGTTGTTATTATTATTTGAGGAACATTGTTAATCTATTCTTTTACTTTCTTCCCCCTCATAACAGAAATGTGAGAGAACTCAGTATACTTCCATTGATTTTTCTTTAGGTTACTTAAGATGTACCTTTTTACATAGATATCAGCCAGGCTTACTTGTTTTAATTTACGCTTTTTTAATTAGCTCATTTAGATGAATGAAAGGATGGTTGAAGGGGATAGATGGATATTACAAATGATTTTAAATTTAGGCTTGTGTTATTCAAAGGCAGATCCACTTTCCAAATCTTAGACAAATTTTGAGATAGTATAAAAGGTACAGATTCCAATATCTATCTTATATTATGTTTCCTTCTTTTACAGCTGGCTAGAGAAGTTTTGGATATTGCTGCTGGGATGATTAAGCCAGGTGTAACTACTGAAGAAATAGATCATGCTGTACACTTAGTAAGAACAATGTCATGTTTAGAAATAATGTTTTGCATTATTAGCCTACTTAGAGTTGTAAAATATAAAGTACACTTAAATTCTAAAAGTCTAAAGTAACTTGGCTAAGGTACTTTAAAAGCAAAATTTTACTTCATCAAATAGTGAAAAACATTTCAGTTATCCCATTTTTATCTGTGATACTGAGCTCTTAAACCTAAAATTTCATAAATATTTAGATTTTACAAACTGATTAATTTTACTAATGGTTTAATGTAAACTCATGGTCTCATTGTATATCAAGTATTCTGAAAAGGTAAAAGGGCAGCATTTCAGGGACAAAGTCTGGAGGGTCAGGAAATAGGGGGCACTTTGTGAGGCCAAATTTGTAGAAGAAGATTCTTTTTCTTACCCTTAATAGATACAGACTTAATACCTGTCAAAAAAATTAGACCTTAAGATAAGCAGATAAGTATGCATATTATCTGAATAGAATACTTTCAAAAGAAGAGACACAATTAATTAGTAAAACATTAGGAAAAATTAATAAACCTGCTCTGCTAAAGAAATGTAAAAATGGTGAATTAGTATTACTCTTTTAAACGCATTAACTTACATGCTTTTGTGGTTACTCTTACATAGTGATGACATTGTAAAGGTTATGGATAAACTTTTATATAATGATTGTATTGTAAAAGGGATAGCCTCTTGAAAGGAGCTTTAACAATATGTCTTGAGCTATAAAAATGTTTATAATAATCTTTTATTTGGGATTCCTGATTTGGGATATGTTTCCATATGTTACAGCTATAAAATGTATATTTTTGATAATTACATAGGATAAGTAGTAGCATTTTGAATGTCAGGTGCTCTTATAAGTGTGTTAGTACATTATCTTATTTAACTCCCAATAATCTGGTGTGGGGGGATACAATATCTCCATTTTATGGATAAGGAAACTGAGGAGGCTAATGAGCTGACTCAAACTTGTACGTTGTCGGATTGGCATTTTTAATCAAGTCCATCGGATTTTTTGTTCCGTCAACTACTGTTTATACTCCCGTGGAACTATAGCCTTAAAAGAGGGA